CCATCACGCCCCTCTCCACTTTGCAGTGCAAGTTTGGTAACACATTTCGTTTTAAGGTGACATAGAGGGGTGTAGCAGATGCGGCCCAGCTTCACCGCGTCTTGCGCCTGAGAGGAGCCCAGATGGGAAAGTGCTAATTGCACCATTACACCAAGGCACCAAAATTAAAAAAGAAAGATTAAAATTATAGACATTGTCTGGCCAACCTTTTGCTAAGCAGCCTGCGTGAATAATCTTTCCTAGGGCAAACCAGCAACTGAAACGTGCAGATAATAGTAAACAGTAACAGCAGCTCTCATTAGCCTTTCCTCTCACCCCAACCCGGCCATTGGCTAATGTGTGTAATAAGTCACTTAATGACCCAAGATTTGTTTTAAAAAAAGGTTTCCAGTCAGATTGGTGTGCTTTTGAATGGGCCTAAATCACAGATTCAGAGCCTGCCATGGGTGATCATAGGCTGGGGCTCCTGTTTATAGGTAAAGCCCTAGCCCACTTCGCACCCAGTAAAAACCCTTAGCAAAGGGCTCATCCACCAGACTGGTTTGGTTTCTTCTCTTCAGACCGCAAGTCTCTTGCTAGGATGTCTGAAGCAAGTGCAGAGAGTTGGAGCACCCAGCTGTGCTTATCATTCCCACTGGATTGCCTTCATCCATGTAGGAATGCTGTGTTGTAACCCCAAAAATCCCACTTGGCTGCGTAGGACCCTGCAAGAGCACAGCTCTGTGCCGGGGCTTCAGTTTGTATCAGCTAAAGCTGTTCCTGGAAAGCCAGAGGACTGACCCTCTTGGATTTCATCTGAGCTGGAGAAGTGAAAGCACATAATAAATAAATAATACAGCCATAAAACCCCAGCGTGCTGCTGCTCCCTGGTTTCTCCGCTCCTGGTGCCTTATGCAGAAGGAAATGGCTTTCCCTCTGCCGCTGGCTGTTTTGGTTTTGCTCTTGTAGATCTTGCCCCTCCTGCGATCACCCATCTCCTCGGAGTCTTACCTAACTGTGCTGGATATGTCCCTTTTCTCCAGTTTTCTGTTCTCGAGACTCCATTATGGATTTTTTTTCTTTCCCCCACCAACGGACAAGGCGTTTCTCATGATCTGCCACAGCCTCACCGGTAGGGCTGCATGTCAAATTAAGAGACGGGTGCTATTTCTTGCAAAACACCCCAGATGTTTGTCGTTCTCCCCATCTCCCACGGCTCCCTATCGAGAGCCACTGGGTTTGCTGAGCAGCGAAGAGCTCCCACAGCGCGGAGCCCGTCCCAACTTGTGGCACAAGCATGGTCACAGCAGACAGCGCTTGCTGAGCTGTCCCAGCTCGCTCGCCCGATGCCGTACCCCAGTGCTTGCTTTATGCCAGGGCTGCAGTCAGGATGATGGATCAAAATTACCCTCAGGTCTCCCAGGTACCTAGAATTAGAAGGTTAATAAGAAGTCAATCACTCTTCTTAATAGTGGTAAAGAAATTGGCCAACTGCTGCACAAACCCATGTTTTTAAGGCTGATAAATTAATTTATGCAGCTGCCATTTGGGCTAGTGCCATTCAAGCATTTCTGGGGAAGATTTGCTGTCGTCTTAGATCCTGCAATGCCATTCCTGGTCTGTCCCTTCCCGCCTGGCTCGAGTCTGCTCCAGCCCATGGCAATGCCCCCCCCAGCAGCAGCGACCGTGGCCAAAACAAGCTCCTCTCTTCAAACATAAAATCCCTGAATAACACACACACAGCAGCCAAGCATTTTCTGGGGCATGAAGCAGGGGGGTGGTGGAATTGATTTCCTTAAGGAGACCTTAACACTGCATAGCTTAGTTTAGGTGAAATTCAGTCATTTTGCTTGCAGCACAACAGGCAGGTGCCTTTCTGTTAGAGCAGGAGGGTCGCACTGGGCCACACGAGCCCCTGAAGGGCTCAGGGAACCACGAATAAAAAATAAAAAAAAAAAAATCTCGTTCTTTCCTATGGGCTGTTCCCTGAAAAAAAAAATAGTTCACGTGAAATGACTGCGATCCAAGAGCCAGGTGACGATCAAAGCCTTTTGCACAGTTGTTGCATCCAGCTCCAAGTTCGGTACCTGCTCGAGCTGAGGAGGGTCTGTGAAATTAGCTCCCTTTCTGCCATGGTGCAATATCAGAAAGCCACGGCTTAAGTGCATATTGAAACTGGGAGGAAAGCTTGTTTTCCTAGTGTTTAGCCAAGCCTCTAGATGGAAGTTGACTTTAATCCCAGTGCTTATCTGCATCCATTTCTTCCTTGTAATAATATCTTCAAAGGAAGAGCAAGAACAAAGTACTGCTAAACGGACCGTGGAGCATAATCCAGCATCACCAAGGGAACTCTAAAAAAGATCTTTCACCCCTCCCAGCCTCCCCATCACAACATGGTCAAGATTTGTGAGATGTTTCTGCTCTAGAAATAGCACCCAGGAGTTTGCCTGCTCTCAGCCCAGCTCAGCTGGGTCACAGCCAGGTCTCCGTAGCCAACCTGTGGCCATGGGCACCCAGTACGTGGGGTTTGTGCTGTTCAAGAAAGCAGAAGAGTAGCTCCGGATTTGGAGACTCTCTTGTTAACTGGCACACAACTTATCAGCATGGACCTTTGGAGTAAAGCTCTCATTTTTTTCCCCTTGTTTGAAATAGTCTCTGGGCAGTCAGCTCTCATGGGCAGCTTGGAAAAACAAACCCAGAAGAGACATCAGAGCATCTTGGCCCCAAGTCCTCCACAGCATTACATTATCTGGCCAACAGCTTAACCCCAAGTGCAAAGGCAGTTGCTTTCTCAACGGGTGCACATGCGTGTATCTGATGGCAGGCAGGACATCAGGGCAGCCCTGCCACAGCTTGTTCTGTATTTGCTGCTAAAACCAACACTAGTCCTGTTAAGCTAGCTGCTTTGCTGACTGCATCAGCTGCATTGCCCCACCAAGCAAGGTAGCCTCCTGCGATGATTTGGAAATCACTGCCTGTTGACTCAAAGGCAGGCAGCTAATACTCTGCAGGGCTGTGAAAGACAGACAAGTAAGGCACTGCAAATAGCTCCGTACCCTTGGCAGAGCAGACATACATGGCAGATCACCATCCATACCTTCACAATACCGTATACAGCCCCCGTGCTCCCAACTCTTATTGCCCTCTTGATGACTACAGATAGTCAAACTAGAGCACTTGGCTCACGCCCATGCACACATGCATTGCAAGTGCCATTCTTCGTGGGGGGGGGACAGACATCTCATGGCATGCCCCCTGCTGCTGCTGGGCTGAGCCAGGCTTTCTGCTCTCCCTGGCCCTCTCCTAACACCTCAGGACACGTTTCCTTGAAGCAAACTCTTTAACTGTAGGTCATAGCAATTTCAGCCTTCCTGTGATTATTTAGGAAAGTTATTCTGGTGATGACGATTTTGGAAAGTACACACACACACACATACGCATTTTGGGAGGGGTTATTTCCATAGGAACTGCAGGAATTTCACTCTTCCTTGGCTTGCAGGTCTCCAGTACATCAAGTGGCCATGGCAAACTCCTCATACCCCAGTGGTGAATGCGGGTATTGATCAGTCAACAATAAAATGCTTTGGTACTTACAAATAACCTTCATTTCCTTCCACCCTGCCTCTTTTCTAAGTTATTCCCCCAAAGTCTAGCGGGAAGCTCACAACACCTTGCAAGGTTGTCCGTCTATGTGCGTTATTTACAAATTAAAGCTCAGCACAATTTACAACTCTCTAGCTCTGTTACTTTTGGAACTCCTCGGGGGAAAAGCCCAACGCTTACCAGCTGCCTGCACCCACCCTCCCAGATGACAAAGAGCTCATGGCTTGGTGCACATGTTGTGGAACCAGCTGTACAACATCTTACCGTGCTGTGCAAGACGAATTTCAAACAAGGTGTCGTGGCACCAGAGCAGCCGCGCTTGAGCAGCTGCCCAGCAGAGATGGTGGGCTGGCTCTGCAGTGGGCATTGCTCAGCGGCTAAGCAAAGCAGTGTTAGTGCTGGTTTGCATTTTCAGCTAGAAAAACCAACAGGTGCTGGGCAGAACCGTTCTCTGGCTCAGGCTGTAATGAAAGGCAAAAGCATTTCCGCAGCTGGCTGGTTTGGCGTGAGGCTAAAACGCCTGCGCCACCGCAGCGGATGAGACATGTGTGCTCACCAAGTTGACATGAGCAATTAGCATGCATGAGGCTCCTTCCACCTCCTAATTCACTCAGAATAACAACTCATTAGCAAAAAGTCCTCAGCAGCGCTAGTCTGCCGACAGGTCCTCATTGTAGATACGTTCTTTGATTTGCTTTAGAAGATAAATTGACCTGTGAAACTCCAGTCTAGCTCATGCTAATGAGTCTCTGTAGGGTCATTGTGAGAATTAATTTATTTATCTAAGGATTTCTCCATAGTGCTCATCTCCTCGGCAGCTAGACTGAAGAGACATAATAGGTCTAACACGCTGGAAATACTAGATCAAATCACCCAACCCTGCAGGTGTCTGTCCTACATTTGCTGTCTTGGGCTAAAGTCGTTCTGGCTTGGGATCTCAGTTTCCCACCTGTACAGCCAAGAGGACAAACACATGCCCTCTCGCTCAAAGAGCTTCGTACCCAGCAGTGTGAGAAGCGTTACAGCAGTACTAGCAATTCCTGTCCATCTTATCAAGGGCTTCCTCACTCTTTTTTTGCACCTTTAAAAGCACCAGGATAGCCTCTTTATTCCAGGGTTTTGCAGTGGCTGTAGAAAAGAACTTTGCACTCTTTCTGAATTAAGGGTGTTTTTTTTTTTAATCTGGTGCTCCTTGTTTCTGGCCCTCTTCTATCAATAAACAGAAATGTCTCTGTGCCCCCACAACTGCACAGACACACTCCTGGCCTCTGCAGAGGAGATGGTTAGCCCCAGTTGAACATCCTACCTAGATAACTCATGTTCTCGCTCTCTCTAAGAGAGCCAGGGAGCCCAAAGCGATGCCACGGAGCAGAGACGTCCCCCCACATTAATGTCCCTCTCCTTTTCTTCCCCCGCAGCTTGAAAGCTGTCCTGATGGGGAAGCCTCAGGACAACACAGTGGACTTGTCGGGCATCCCGCTGACGCTGAAAGACTTGGACCGCGTCACGTCCTACCTCCAGCACAGCTCGGAGCACATCGACACGGTGGAGCTGTGCTTCACAGAGCTGACGGACGACATGCTGCTGCAGCTGCTGCCGGCGCTCTGCGTGCTGCCCCACCTCACCACCCTCTCCCTCAACGGCAACCGGCTCACCAAAGCCATCCTACGGGACCTCACCGAAACCTTGAAGGACCCCAAGAAGTTCCCCAGCGTCACCTGGATCGACCTCGGCAACAACGTGGACATCTTCTCCTTGCCGCAACCCTTCTTGGTCAGCCTAAAGAGACGATGCCCAAAGCAAGGCAACTTACCGACTATTCTGGAGTTTGGCGAGGGTCAGGTAAGCGATTTGGAGAGCCAAGATGGCCTGGCTGAGAGCCAGGAGGACCTGCGTGCTGGACCAGGCAAGACTGACAACATAGGTTTGCAGCAGACAGACAGAACAGTTGAGGCTGGGGAGCTCCCCAACTCGGAGCAAGGTGCTGCGACACCGCAGACATGATGTCCGGCTCCGTGGCTCTTGGGTGGGCGCGTTGAGCAAGGATGACTTAAAACCGAGACCTCAGCGTTGGAGGTCCTGGCGGAGGGTCGATTCACGCGGTGGGTTGCTTCGGGAGTCCGGACTGCTGCCTTCCTCCCGTACGATGAATGTCAACTTTTTTCTTTTCCAAGACCACATAAAGGTGATCACATTGAATACTTGTATTTTTGAACATTAGTGACATGCTAGGCTTTTTAACCTCTCAAAAACGCGTCTCTAAGGTGGTGTAATACGAGGCCCTTCCTTAGAAGAGCACAAAAGGGGAGAAGAAAGGTGCCCAGACTTTGCAGGGAAGGGCTCCCTTTCCTTAGTGCTGGATCCCAGCCAGAGCCCCGCTGCTGTCCCACATGTGATGGACAGACAGCAGTCACCCCAAAGAGGACTGCTGCCGAGATAAACCTTAAATCCTTTTCAATCCTGACTTCAGGAGATGCTGATGAATAGCATAACTGCTGAGATTAAACAAAAGTCTGATCACACACTAACCAGGGGTGTTTCTCTTAATATAGCAAGCCAGCCCAGAGGGAGAGCTTTGCTTTCCTGGTGCAGAGCTAAATCCCAGCCTGCAGCGTGCCTGGATGGCATTCTCACCCTCCCGCCTTACTGAAATCAGGCTGGCACTTGTGCCTGCCCAGTATTTATTCAGACGTGAAATCCAGTTTCCCACCAGCCGTGCTGCTGTAATAACTCCAGAGCTTTTAATGTGGTACCTGGAGCTTGCACCAGCAACACTGAGAGTATTTGATCCATTCTGGGGAGCGATCCGCAAAATCTGGAGCCGGGCCTCAGCTCAGGTTCATTGCTGCTGTTGACAAAAGAGACCACAATACTGAAGGTTTATAAAAGAAAAAATAATCCTGGGGTTCATCCCTGTATCACTGCCACTGAGGGCTGGGCAGACACAGCCAGCTGGAGATTTAAAGCCTCCGAAATGCTGTTGGGTCACTTGGCTGCATCCATCCCTCCCAGACCAGAAGTGCTTTGTTTCTAAAATGTCATTTTGGTTTTTTTCTAAAAGAGACAGGGGTTTGATTTTATTTTATTTTGGATGGAAAATGGATCACCCCAGAGCAGCAGCACTGGAATGGGCACTTCGGCTTTTGAACCAGAATTTCATTTGATCCTAAACCTAGGGGAGGGCAGGAAAGTGTGAAAAACTCCCTCTCCTTTACATTCAAAGGACCAAACATGACTCCCTTTGCTAAGAGGGAGCCCTTTTCTATCTGTTCGAAGCCCATCCCTGAGCAGCTTTACAGCATCGTTTTCCTGGCTCACAGCAGTGACTCTCTGGCTTTGCTTCTTCTGGGTGCAAACGCCGTCAGACTTTTTGGTTGTCCCTTTGCTCCGTTCATTTAACATCACTGCACCGGGAAGATTTTTCCAGAGGGGCTTCATGCTGTCGGTTGTTGTTTCTCCTCCGTACGCAAGTAGATAACTTAGAAGAAGCTCTGCTACTCGTTTTAAAACATTTGGCAACGTTCAGTATGATTTGCATGTATCCAAGCCTTTTTCCTTTTTTTTAATGCTAACTCTTTCCAACAGGCATGAAAAAAACTTTGCAGTGAATAAACTGTTCTGTTTGAAATAAAGGAGCTATCCGTAATCAAAATGAATGACAATATTTAATAAAGACCCAGTGTTGAATTTTTCCTCTGTACAGGTTGAAATGCCCAGCTGGCAGGCCAGAGCACCCCAGCAAAAAACCAGTGCTAAGCACTGCAGCTCTGGGTTCTCCAGGGTGCTTAAAAAAAGGGTCGCTGTAGCTGGCTGGAGAAATAAATAGCCCAGTTTATGGGCTGGATTCTGCAGGGTGGGCACAAGGTGGACGCAGAAGCATCGTAAAAGCATCTGTTAAATTTTAAATGTTGCCAGTGTGCAAAACCAACGTGGGAGAAAGGAATACTGAGAATGGCATACTGCTCCACAGGGTATTTATCTCCAGTCTCAGTGCACTGAAGGAAACGGCTTTTTATTTGCAGCAAGGGCTCTCTATATGATCTGTGTTCCAGCACCCAAACCACGGCAGGGGACAGGACATGGGGGCCAGCGTGCTGGTGGGAGCAGGTTTGTCCTAACGCCCAGGAGACCTCTCCCGACGCACTTGGGGACTATTTCTACCCTTACTACAACTTTAATAAGGTACCTTTAGTAGAGGTATAAATTAAGCAAGGTGTGATACACCGGGTTGGCTGGGTCTCAGCTGCATCCCTAACCATCAGCCCATCCTCGGGGGAGGTTGCACTTCTCCCACTCCCCAGTAGCCACACACAGGGGTCTCCTTGCCTGGAGTGGGCTGTGGGATGGAGCTTATGGCACGTATGTTTTGTTCATATGGAAAGGCTGACAGGCAGCATGTAGAGCCTTTGCCTACACCCAGGGCAGGCAGTGAGACACAGGCAGCAAATCCACCATCACTACCTCATCTGCCACTTGCCTAGGTCGCCCTGCTGTGCCAGTAGTAGATCCCGCATGGAGATTTGTTAACTCAGTGTATGGGGATTTCATCAAGAACAAGATTTCTCCTTGCAAAAAAGAAACGCCAGCAATTTCTTCTGTAAGAGGTCAGGCTCTGGTTTGCTCAGTACCTCAGTACTCAACACTGGGCTCCCTTCATTATGCACAGCTCTGTCTGTTTAAATTATTTCAATCACAAGCTCCTTGCTGCAAGCTTTTTATTTTCTGCTAAGTATTTGCACAGGAACCAGCCATCCTGGGCCTCAGTATCTGTCTGGACCCCGCAGTTTGGCCATGCAAATTCATCTACCAGAGGCGCTTTGCACTTAGAGCGCTGCATCATTTATTGATGCTTTGCACACTCAATTCCCTCACCGACACGAAACCACCCAGGAGGTCGCTCCTGCCACATTTCCCCTCCAGCTCAGCTTCTACCTGCTATGAAACACATCAATCAAGCAGGAGAAATTTTGCATTTATCAGGCTTTTTCTGCAAGGGGTTACCAGCAGCCCACCAGCTCAACTTTCAGCTGCAGAGGGCTAAATGCAAGGCTCTGTCCCCAAAGCTGCTGCAGATGTGCTGCAAATCAGGAACACCTCGTCCCAGCCGTCCCCCTCTGCTGTGAAATGCTGTCGTTGGGTCCCTCGTGTGATCATCCAGGGCTGCGCTGCAAAGGATGAGCCTCTGGAGAAAGACCCTACATCCCTCAGCCCTTCGCCCTGTGCAGACATTGCACCACTTGAGCTAGCTCTGCTCCACTGGTACAGACAGGCTGGTGCCAGTATCTCTGTGCCCAACGAGGATTTAGCCCTACTGAGAAAGGGAAATAACTAGAAAGGGCCTTTTATCGATATGTTCGTGCATGCTGAAGCATGCACCAAATTACTGACTTTCACAGGAGAGAAAAAAAAACCACAGCTCCAGTAGAGACAGTTACTCAGTTATAAAAATAAGAGGGCTTTAGCTAATCAGTCTCTTCCTTGCAGTGTGGATTAGGTCAATTAGCCATTTACTGCACTTCAGGATGATGATGATGATCCTGTGGGCTCAGTAAAGAGTATTTTTTTTTTAAGAATGTAGCATGAGATTGCTTCCCTTCCCAGCTCATCAGCATCAAAACAAGCTTGGAGCTCACTCCATATATAATCAATGTTCCCCGTGCTACACTGGGCTGCTTCTTCTGGTCAGAAGCTTTTAAATGGCCCTGGAAGAAGGATTCAAGTACTGAAAATCACTGCTGTTAGAATATTAAAGTCGACTGAGGTCATTTCTTGTCAAAGGGGGGAGGAAGTGGCCACCATAAAATAAAAATGTCCATAAAACATCCAAGCCCTGTTTGGTTAGTTATCTCCAGCAGCGCTACACAGCTCTGCCTGTGCATGAAGGAAACTAGTCTGTGGGAGAAGATTTATGCCTTCAGCAACAAAAATGTAATTGGAAATAATTCTGCACAGATTGAAGAGCCCACACTGAGGGGAATCGAAACAGTAGGCGAGGAATGAGAGAGGCATGAAAGGACTGATGCCACACGCTCTGGAGGGCTCGTTCCAGCTGGGTTATCTCGGAAGAGTTTGCACAAGCCCTGTTTGGGTTTTGAAGGTGATTATTCATTTAAAATGAGGGTTACATTCCTGGGGGGGCTAGAAGCAGGCAAGAGGGCTGGTGATGGTTACCCCCAAGCACGGACCGCACTGGAAAGCAAGGAAGCCGCAGAAAGCACTGCTGGGGACATCAAGAAGCTCAAAAATACTTTGGGCAAAAGCACTGCTTGCTGCTCACCAGTCCTTTGGAGAGGAGCAGAAGACTGCAAACACCTACCCAAAAGTGCCGCAGAGGAAAGGCCAAAAAGTGACCTAAAGGACTAAAGGGATACCAGGGAAGGCCGCAGCGGCTGAGCCGGGGAGTGGGCTGCCCCAGGCAATAAAACCACACCGGGTTATCGCACTGCAGCTCACTTTGCATTCAGGCACAAATGTTTCAGTGCTCTCCTATGGTCCAGCACACCTCGTTTCAGCAGCGGGAGAGGAGGAGGCTCCTGAGCTCGTGCAGGGACCACTCATGACCTCAGAAATGCAGAAACTCCCATTTTCCATTAACTGGGAGCACATCACCGGTAGCTGCTATTGCCAAGGAAACCAATTGACCTTATCAGCAGTATTCATGTATTAATCCTTGCGAGGAAGGGAAAAAACAACTAACCTAACCTCTCCGGTGTAATGTTCCTAGGTGAGCAACAGATGTAATCTCCTTCCGACCTCTTTGGTACATGGGTATCGTCCTGGAAACATCACGCAGTGATCCCACTCTTCCTTCGCTCCAGGGGCAGTTGAGTTTTTACCTGCCAGGGTGCTGTATTCCACCAGCAAACTATACACAGCAAGAGGAGATGATCTTTCCAGCTCTATTAAATGTCTTTAGCCTTAAATTCTGAAGGACAAATGGGCAACCAGATCCATCCCTCACAGACCTCCAACAGCCACCAGCGGTGCGAGCCTCACCGTTTCATACCAGCGCGCCCCATCTTCACAAAATATTCTCAAATGCTCAACAGCTGTAAGCAAAAGAGCTGATGACCCTGCAATACCAGAACCTGCTGGGCTTTGGAGCTTCCATCTTTCCTTTCCATGCCTTGGGGGAATAGAGGTCTTCTAAGATGATGAAGTGGATCTCAATGGGGATCACTCCCCTCCCTTGCAACACCCCACAA